TATCAGTCTCTTCTAAGAAGAGTGACGTTTTAAGTGTTTTACTTATTTCATAAGTAATCCAAGTACAACTATCATTAATATTCAGATTTGTTGTGTTTGAATTATGTATCTACTGTAAATATGTATTTAATCACATTATGTGGTCATTACTCTATTAAGCTCCTTCTATGATAGTATGTTTATATTTTTCTTACCAGCTATAACCACCTTTTTATTTCAAAAATAGGGAGAAAAAAGGTTATGATCTTCGTTTATTAGTTGTCCATTGTTAGTGCACTCGCGTTTCACAGGTATAAATGAATTGCACACATATTATGTTTTGGCAAGAGCATAACCTCATTGGGGATTTTCACATCACGTTAGTTTCATAATGGCATAGAGTCTTTCTGAAGCTAACAAGTGATTAAAATAACTTGACTAGCTCCAGTGTATCCAATTTAATGTTTCTCTAGGGGAATCAGAAGTTTCTTTGTGGTGTTTATTTGAATTTAAAATCATTAAGCATTGATTGTTTTCAGCTAAATTTCACACATTATAACTACTTTGTATCTCTAACACAAGGTACATTAACTTGCGTATTAAAGTCATAAAGCCAATGAAAGACACTTTATTTCATTTTGTTTTTTAATGAACAGAACATGGGGAAACCCCCGATGTCATCAACACATGTAGAATGAAAGATTTGATATGAACTTAGAAAATGCCCAGTGATTATAGGATGCAGGTGGTGTATGTGTGTGTGTGTGTGTGTGTGTGTGTGTGTGTGTGTGTGTGTGTTTGAAATCTTGGAAATTAAAAACTGAGTGAAAATGCATATGTGGTAGTTGAAGTGATGATGTTAGGTGGGTTCACCCAGAGAATTTTGTAGGGGAGTGGAGAAGAGAAGATAATTGAGGATGGATTCCTAGAATCATCAGTAAATATTAGTTGAGTGGAATAAATAGAAGACTATAAGAGTAGTTATAGAGGAAAGGGGGCAGGGAAGATATGATATAATGCCATAAAAGCCATGAGATTAAAATAATTTTAACAGGGATTCATTTGGAGTGTCAAACAGTGCAGAGGATTCTCATTCGATAAAAACTGAAAAGCAGATAGAAAATAGAATTTCATTGATAGCCTTTAAAAAAAGATTTTTACTAAAAAATATAGCTAACATACAACATTATTATCAGTTTTAGGTGTACACCATAGTTGTTCAGCATTTATATAACTAAAAATGTGATCACTGTGTAAGTCCAACAACCACCTGACACTGTACTATCATAATATTATTGACTATATTTTCTGTGCTGTATGTTACATCCCATGACATATTTGTTTTATACCTGGAAATTTGAACCTCTTATTTCCCTTCACCTTTCCCCCCCTTTTTAATTTTTCAATTACAGCTGATATTCAGTGTTATTTTATATTAATATCAGGTGTACAACATATGGTTAGATATTTATATAATTTAAGAAGTTATTCCCCTGACTAGCCTAGTACCCACCTGGCTCTATACATAGTTATTACCATATTATTGACTATATCCCCTATGCTTCACTTTACATCCCCATGACTATTTTATAACTACCAATTTGTGCTTTTTAATCCCTTCACCTTTTTCACTCTGTCTACCAACCCCCTTCTCACCTATCACCTTGATAAATCTAGTATCGATCTGACACCATACATAGTTATTACAATGTTATTGACTATGTTCCTCATGCTATACCCTACATCCCCATGACTACTCTGTAACAACCAATTTCTACTTCTTAGCCCTTTTTGCACCCACCCCCTCAATCTCCTTGCCACCTGGCAAACATCAAAATGTTCTTTGTATCTATGAGTGTGTTTCTGTTTTGTTTGTATGGATGGACCTTGAGGGTATTGTGCTAAGTGTAGTATGTCAGACAGATGCAATGTTTCACTTATATGTGTAATCTAAAGAACAAAATAAAACAGAAAGACAGTCATAGATACAAAGAACATTGATATTCTTGATGAAGATACTCCTAATAGAATGGGAATTGGGTACAGAACCAAGATTGTGTGGTTAAAGAATGAACAAGGATGTGAGATGGCAGAAACAATATATATAGGAAACTCGGCTTGGTTTTGGAAGGAAGAGAGACAAGAGACCTGGGAGGGGCAAGGAGGACTTTTGTTTTTGTATCATTGTCTTTGTAGTCATCATCATCATCATCACCATCATCACGCCTTTCCTACTACTACTAACCACCACTATCTCCCTGACTTTATATGGGGCACGTGATGAGTCGATAAATTCAAAAAGGAAATGACCC